GACAGTGCTAGAAAATTTATATTAGATGATCAAAAGAGTATGTGCATGGTTCTATAAATAATATATGACATTAAGTGATTTTTTTTTTTTTGATTTTCCGAGACAGGGTTTCTCTGTGTAGCTTTGTGCCTTTCCTGGAACTCACTTGGTAGACCAGGCTGGCCTCGAACTCACAGTGATCTGCCTGGCTCTGCCTCCCGAGTGCTGGGATTAAAGGCGTGCGCCACCTCCGCCCGGCCATTAAGTGATTTTTAAGATGTTAGAATCTCAGAATTGTTTGAGTCAAATGCTCTTGTTCCTGTTATTCAATTATTTTTATATGTTATTGGATTTGGTTTACTAGCATTTTGTTGAGAATTTTTAATTCTGCATTCACAAATGCTATTCATCTGTTTTTTCTATTACTCTTGTGATATATTTCTGGTTCTGGTAGCAGGTTACAACTTACTTCAGAGAATGAAATCAAAAGTGTTTTTTTAATCTTAGTCTTTGGGAGAGTTTCCAAGGATTAGCGTTAATTCTGTAAATTTCTGATACACTATGCTAGTTGCAAATATTTGAGGATTGTTTTTCGTTTGTGGGAAATTAGTTTGTGTTTGTTTTGTTTTTCATGGTTTTTCTGTTTGTTCTTGAGATAGATTTACTCTTGGTATTCTCCCAAGAATTTATTCATATCATCTGTGTTACCTAGTCTTTTCACATACAGATTTTCATGGTACTTTTATATACTGATTTTTATTTCTTCAAAGTCAGTAATAGTGATTTTTTCTTTTCCCCATGTGATTTTAGTAATTTGAGTTCTTTCTTTTTTTTCTTGGTCAATCTGTATTAACTTTTACCTTGTCATTTATATTTTTATTTTTATTGATTAAATTGGCTCTTTAACAATTTCGCACATGTACACAATGCACTCTTTATTCTCCCTTCCCATTGTCTCTTATTTCCCTCTCATCTATCACCTACCCCTCTTTCCTCCAAATCCCTTTTCCAGATCCATGTCTTTTTTATTTATTCAACGTCAGTAACAGTGATCTTCTATTTTACCTATGCAATTTTAGCAATTTGAGACCTTTCACTTTTTCTTGGTCAATCTATTATTTGTTAATAATTTAGAAAGAATTTTGATTTCAGTAATCTCTATCTCCCATCTAATCTTTACAATTTTATTGTGTGTGTGTGTGTGTGTGTGTGTGTGTGTGTGTGTGTGTGTGTGTGTGTTGGCTGCTTTCTCTTATTTAAAGATTTCTAAGATACAAGCCTAGGTGACTGGGATTGTTCTTTCCTCATAAAAGGGGCACTATAGCTGGAATATTTTCTCTTGAGCCTTACTTTCACTGTATTGCCCAAGTTTAAGTATGCTTTATTATTGTAGTTGTTTAGGATATTTCCTTTCTTTTTCATTTGTGCTATGAATGGAACACAGGGCTTCATACATAACAAAGAGGCAAGCACTGTGAGACATTTACTGCCAGCTTCTGGAAAATATTTTGTGATTTTTTTTTGGGGGGGGGGATATACTCATCAATTGTATCACTTAACTTGCAAAATATTTGTGAATTTCTTAAGGTATTCACTTCTATATCTGATTTCACTCCATTTTAACTAGAACATACTCTGTTTTTCTTAAAGTTATCGAGTCTCATTTCATAGTCTTAACATTTAGTCTATCCCACCCAAAATTCCATATATATTCAAATATATATATTTTAATTCTTTTTAAGTAGAAAATATTGATGTTCACTAGGCATGGACGTAAAATGCTATTCAAGCCTATTTCCATGTTCACATTCTGTCCAGTTTATTATGTATAGAAAGTGGTTATTGAAACCTCCACATATTTTTTACTTATTTCCATGTTCAATTCTTTTTTCTTTTTTCTTTTCTTTTTTTCTTTTTTTTTTTTTTTTTGATTTTTCGAGACAGGGTTTCTCTGTGTAGCTTTGCACCTTTCCTGGAACTCACTTTGTAGACCAGGCTGGCCTCGAACTCACAGAGATCCTCCTGGCTCTGCCTCCCGAGTGCTGGGATTAAAGGTGTGCGCCACCACTGCCCAGCTTTTCCATGTTCAATTCTGCCCAGTTTTGGTTCATGTAATTTTGAATTCTGTTATTAGGTACATATATGTTTATAATTTTTGTAATGCCTTTTGAAATTGTCTCCAGAACTTTTTTAAAATAAATTTTGAAATTGTGTTTATTTATTTTGTCTGTGCATGCCATGGCATACATATTGTGATCACAGGAGAGCTTATGTGACATGATTTCCTTATTCCACCAAGTACATTCTGAGGATTGAACTCAGATCACCAGGCTTCAAAGAAAGGGTCTTGACCTAGTTAGATAATATCTTGGTCTTCAATTTCTTATAGTACAGTCTTGCATAAGTCTTTAAATTCTCAAAGCCAGTGACATACTTCTTCCAACATGGCCAGACCTCCTAAATGTCCCCAGACAATTCTACCAACTAGGGACCAAGCATTCAAATCTCTGAGATTATGGCAGATATCTCATTCAAACCACCCCACAGAAGTTTCAGTCCATGGTTATTTGGTCTCACTGCCTTTATTTAGGCCTATGATAAAACAGAAATTCTCAGCAGTGAACACATGGCAGAAGTAGCTGTTTAGCTCATGACAGTCAAGAATTAAAGATGACAGGACAGGCTATGATCTCAACATCTTCTAGGGTACACCTCCAATGGCCTAAGTTCCTTTCACTCGATCTCATCTCCTAAAGGTCATGTCACTTCCTAATAGTGCTACAGAATGACAACAACGTCTGCTTTTCTAAAACTTACCTATATTATAGCAGAATTTTCTGCTGTATGGTATATGTGTTATAATCATTTTGTTCTAAGGCTATTTTTTATATTTAGGGAATAATTTTTGTTTGCTTATTTTTTAAATAGTACAACTAGCTGGTTGTTTATACAATTGAAAATTTACTGTTAGAAAGCATATTAAAAACCCTTATACTTATGGCAATTATCTACAATGTGTGTTGAAATCTACCATCTTGTTAGATGTTTGGTATTTGTTCAACATTCTCCTTATTCACATTTTTTATTTTAGATTTTCTTTCATGATATAAATCATTTGTTAATTGTTTATTATGTGTATTTGTTTTCATTGTTACTTTATAGTTTATAATATATAGTATTCTTTAGCCTATCATTCTACCTTCAAACACTATCATACTTATCATATGTAGCATATTTCTTTTTACTCTTTATGATCTTTTTGTTATTTTTACCATATATACTTTCTCATATACATTATGAAAAGTTTTACTTTTAAAAGTTAACTACCTTTTAAAAACATATTAATAATAACAAAAACAATATTTTAGGTTTTTCTACATAATTACCTTTTCTGATTCTATTAATTCTTTATCCTGGGTCCAAATTTTAACTAGTATCACCTTTTATCTGGCTACATATTTGTGCTGCTCATCTAGCGAACAATTCTCTTGACTTTTACGTTGGAAAGCAGTCTTTTTAGAAATTTTTTTATTCATTTTGCATACCAACCACAGTTCTCCCTCCTCCTTCTCCCACCTCCTCCCTCCAACCCATCCCCCATTCACTCCTCCAAAAGGGTAAGGCCTCCTCTGGGGAGTCAACAAAGCTCCTACCCCATCTCAAGGCTGAGCAAGGCATCCCACCATAGGGAATGGGCTCCAAAAAGCCAGCTCATGCAGCAGGGATAGATCCTGGTCATACTGCCAGAGGACCTGTCAAGCAGACCAAGCTACACAACTGTTTCCCACATTCAGAGGGCCTAATTTGGTCCTATGCAGGCTCCAGTGTTGTAAGTCAAGAGTTTGTGAGTTCCCAGGAGCTTGGAAAGCAGTCTTTTTTTTTTTTTTTTTTTTTTTTTTTTTTTTTTTTTTTT